TAATTAATTACTTTGGTGAATGATATTCTTCACCAGTTACCGAAACTGGAGCTGACATGATCTTGAGCAATGACTCGGAGGCGTTGTTCCATGATCGCCATCGTCGGGTATTTTGGCAAACAGAGACGGTGAAAGCAAGTTTGAGATGTCGGAAGGCGATCATTAGCTTCGTATAATCTATAGAGATAAAGCTTTGATGATAATCCTCTAAATCCTTCCAATGGTATAAACCTAGTCGATGTCCAAAAGAAGAGTATACTCTTCTTTTCCTCCTCTGTCATTTTCTTCAGAATCTACAAACAAATTCCGGTTTAAGAGATTCAAAATATAACTCGATTCGAAAAAAGTTTAAAGATTTGAGGGCTTTACTATGTATAATATTACCTTCCAGAACCAGTCTATTTGGCGGTCGGTCTCTTTGAATCCGTTGTACTCTGTGTGTGCTTTCCAATCATCTATGCTTATTTGGTTTTCTCCTCCTCGAAGCATCCCATCGAGATCCTCTAGGTATAGTCTATTGAAAAAGGACTTGAGCGGCACACCTGCTGAAAGCATATCCGTGAAACCCCGAGAAAACTGCGATACTTGTTTGGAGATTGATCTGGCAAATCGCTGTTTAATGAGGAGATCGACGTATTCTTTCCTGTTCTCGCTGTTAACAGCAATGTCATTCCCCTTGTCAGTTAGCTCTATGGTATCCCTTTTCCCCAGCTCTTCGGTTTCCATAACGAATGTTAGACCGAGACCCCCGCTTGAATCGAAAGACACTGGATCCATTTCTAGAATCTCTTTGCAGCTATTGTACATGATTCGATCCGTTTCCTTAATATCTTCCAAAGAAATTTGCAGTCCGGCCAATTGTAGGAAGAAAGGACGGTCGAATAGCACACCCACTTGAACTTTGTGCATCAAAGCTAAGGCAATCACACGACCTGTGAACTCGAAGAAACCTGGATGCAACGGATCCACCTTGGACGCTGTGTGTAAACCAAACAAGATATCTATTTAGAGCAAACAAATGACATGCTTAGATTTGTTTCTTGCTTCTAAGGCCAAATGGCTGTCTAATAATTTCGACTCAACAGATACTTCAATACAGATAATTAAGCAAAGAAAAGAATCACCATGATCAAGTAGGTATGTAAGAATATAGGATTCCAATAAGTTTATAACTATCCCCTTCAACATATAGATCCTAAGATGAGAGATCAACAATTGTTTATACTTTTAGTGTATACTCGAGCATTCACATAACCAGAAACAAAACTACAAGCAAGATAGGCACTATAATATGCAACACTGACATAATAAACATGCTCTCAAAATTCTAAAAAGCAAGTTGAAAATATATTAGACAGTAAGAAACTTAAGGAGTGTTCAAGCCAGGTCCAAATTTCCTTGTACCTAGACTAGTGATGTCATGAGCAAGCGATATAACCCGACACAAAAGCTTACCTGGATTTGGAGAAAACCTTCTGAAATCATCAGGAGATCGAAGGAATAGAGCATTTTGCGGATTAAATATCTCTCGACATACCAAATAGAACCATTCTCGTAGAACACCAGGACCTGTAGCTTCCTCATTCTTGAATTCCATGAACAGTCCACCAAAAAGTGCCTCACGGCTTGCGCCAGATATGTACTCAAACGATTCTGCTAACAAGTTGGACCGATCAATGAGCATTTCGTGCATCTCATCAAACTCTTCTTTCACCTCAGGAAACAACATCATTGCCAGATGCCGTCTAACTTCAAAGTTGGTCGATTCCATATACTCAAGGATCCAATCGTGATCATCGCCTCTTTTTGCAAATTTCAAAATGAGGGTGCAGAACGAAGCTTTCCTGGAATTTAACATACTAGCTACCAGTTCCTTAGCACCTTGATAGATTTTAGAAATTGAACTGATGATCTTCAGAACAGGTAGATATTGAGACCACGATTCAGACATAGACGTTTCACTGTTTCCTGTTCCTTTTTTACCCAACCAAGATTCGACTCGACTCATACAACTGTCCATTGTATGCAACAAGATTGTAAACAACCGATGGAGCTGTTCGATCTCTGCCTCCAATGCAATATTCCGCAGAGGTAAAGCTATGGGAAACGAGCAGGGAACTTGGGATTGAATGGCGTTCATCAAGGGTTTCCAAAAGGAAGAGAATTTCTCCACATCAGAGGAACTAGGCCCTGAACCCTGGACTAACTCTTTCACCACAATATCAGCTAACTCGCAAAAGAAAGGGAAAATCTCCTCCACAAAAACATGGAACCTACCAGAAATATCAATAGATTCCAACAGTGTACCCAAGACGCTCCGAGAAGACGAATACAGCTTTTCATCAGGGGAAACTTTCCTAAGCAATCTACAAAAGTCTAACACAGCCGGTACACAGTAAGTCTGCTGATTCCTACGCAAGGCTATGCAATTATTCAAGAAGAGCTTAATAGGACTCTTAGCACAGGATTTGTAAGGTTCTGAAGAAGACGAAGCATAGAGCATAACCAGAGCAGCAGGAGCAGAAGAACTCGAGAAAATCCTAAGATATTTCGCAATGGAATCCTCGTTTTCGACCGGAATCATGGTGAAAAACGTAACTATCTTCTCATTGATAGTTGAAATACCTCCATGAAGATTCTCACCTCTGTACAATCGAGAGACAGTTAACATGATAGCATCAATCGTTTGCCAAGCAACTGGATGCTCAGTGCTCTGCATCCGACCAACGAGGTGAAGCGAAGCGTCTTGTTCGATCGAGTAGTAGCTAAGCAAGTGTTCGAATTGAAGCTGCTTACCTTCATAGATAATCCTTTGCTCAATCACCGGAATCTTCGTTTTCCACTCGATTCTCTGATGAAGCTTCTCCACAGTATCGTTTTTATCGGCGTGGATCACAATCGTTTTACCTCCAGACATCATCCTAACGAAGAGTTGTAACCGAGTCGACTCGGAAGCGGCAGCAGCAGATGAAGAAGAACACTCTTCATCAGACGAAGGTAATAACCGATTGTGACCAGAATTCTCACCGGATCTCCTCGGAATCCACGATTGTTGCAACTCCGAGATATGATCGGCGTCGACCTCTTGTTTCTTCATCTTCTGGAAGAAATCAACGCCGTAATCAGCGTAATCCTCGAATTTCCGTTTATGATTATCGGTTCCAGCCACGGTGGAGAAAGAGGATCGGTGAGAGTTTGTCGAATCTCCGGCTGATAAACGGTTTAGAGTCATCAGAGAGAAACGGAAAACCCCTCTTTTCTCTCTATCGATTCTGGTGTTTTTTTCGCCGCCGATGGAAATTCTTATCCGATCGATGACCGGAAAATTAACTGTAAACGGAAACGGAGACTGTATGTATGT